TCTGAGAGCTCACATGCTTTTATGTTGTACGGAGCATATGGTCTACCTGTTCAAAATCGTGGTTTATTTGGAGTAAAATATCCAAATTATTCAGTCATATGAAGTAAGTAACTGTAATGAAACAACAATTCTGGATCTTTGGCACAAATCAAATGTAATACTTCTGTCAACGTGATGCAGCTTATTGTGTGCTTTTTGTTTATTCTAGCAATGTGGACATCAGTGCAAAGATTGCCATTTATTGCCCAATCCTAGTTGCCCTGTGAGTATAGTGACAGCTTTGTACTTGAATCAGTTTTAATACAACTAAGTGATTTGCAGGGCCACTTCTGAGGGTAATTAAGAATTGACAATATTTATGTTTGGGCATTGGTTTGACCTGTATAGTTTGATCAGTCGTGGAAATAATAGCGAATATAATGCCTAATATGTAACTGATGACATAGATGTTATTTATTCTCTAAGGGTGGATATGGTGTTTTATATTTGGGGTGGATATCCTGCTTAAAATCTGACTGAGATTGAATATGTTTTAAAATGATGGTGTCTGGATGTGTTGCTTAAGATTTGTGTGTGGGTGGATATGGCATTTATAATATGGGGGTGGTTGTAGTATTTATACTTTAGTTGAAAGTAAATTTGATGTATATACTCTGAAAATGGTTACAATTGTTATACACACTCTGCAGATGGTTAAGGTACTTATAAACTGACTGAAGATGAATATGATGTCACTCTGATTGAAGGTGATCTTGATTTTTATACTTTTAAGTTAAATATGTTTCTTTTACACAGCCTGTGGATAAATATTGAGTTTACAGGCTGAGTAGAGCTTAGAACAGCATTGGTATATGCATGGGGTGGAAATGATGTTCAGGTGATGATTGATGGTGGATTGTATTAATACTCTGACCAAAGGTGAATATGTGTTTTATAACTTGAGAGTTATATACAGATTGGGATCAAATAATGTGGTGCTTATTCTCTGTGGATGTCTTTGGTTGTTATACCCCGACTGATATTGTTAATACTTTGGGAATGAATTTGGCATTTATTCTCGAACTGAAAGTTTCTGTAGTCTTTAAATTATGTTTAAGGATGAGCATGATGTTCATACATTTACTGAAGTTGATCTTTTGAGAGGTGTTTCTAGTTTAGTTGAGAGTGAATAATGCATGTTCTGACACACAGAAATATGCAGACATTACAACAGGGGAACAGGTCAATTAGCTCAATCAGTCTTTCTTGATTTACACTCACAAGCAAGGAAATAAACCCTTCATTCACCTCTCCATCATTCACCATCCAAACTTGCACAGAGAAAGTCCTGCACCATTAATGGGCATACATGTGTGTAGGTACAGCGTTCAAAATTCTCATCATTAAAAACAGGACACAATACTTCAGGAACGTCCTTAATATTGCCAGTTCTCCGTATCACATTGCTGTTTACATCTAAGTGGAAACATGGAAATAGGAACCCAACAAGAAACCACTGTGAATATGTACTGTCAGATGTGGTACTTACTTTGTGCTTTCCAAGGTTGAACTATAATTCAACATCCTTACTTTAATTGTTCTTTATTCGATGTGCTGTTTTAATGCATTATTGTACAATTTTCCTTCTACACATTATTTAAACTGTAAATATATCTGACAAAGTAGATTCAAGATGTTTATTTTGATTTGCCATCTTCTGTTTTCTGTCTCTGAAAGTTGTAGTATAAAGCAGTAAGCATCCAATGTTAGTGATTTGCCATGAATTATAGTTTATTGTTCCAATTCAGCATTCTATTTAGTACATTTGGTGAATAGTGATGTAGTAATTGGATCTTAGGAAAACTGCCATCTTACAGTAAGCACCAGAGAAAATGTTGAAGGATAAACCTGAACTGTAACACTTATGCTAGTTTTTATTTTAACTAAGATCTTAACTACAAAAGAATAGATAAGTTTGACGTAGCCTTCAATGTACATTATTATATATTATTGCTATTATTTGTAATTATTTTTAAATGTATGATAATTATCTATTCAGATCTATTTCATATTTCTATAGCAGGCAATGAGGATTATGTAGAAGAACATAGCCTTAACCATTTACATGGTGCCATTCGAAAGACAATCAAAATGAAGAAACGGGATATTTTTTATCTGAACGGTTTTTGTCAATTGAGTTTGTTCTGCTATTGAAAACTTAGTTTTTGGAATTAATCTAACAATACCATCTTTTCACTACAGCTGTGGCCAATAGATACGTGTTGACAGTACATTACACAAGAAGTATTTTTTTTCTTAATAATTTATTTAATCAAAAAACTTTATCAAGGCAATCTTATATGAAACTATTCCAGTATTCATGTTCCAGGTGGCAATTTTCCTTGATTACGATCAATGCAAAGCAAATATTGCAGACAATGCAAGTCTTGTTTCTATCATGACTTCCTGACCATGGTTATATCACTACACCTATAAAAGAAGGAGGCAAACTTGTGTTAGGAGTTACATTACTTGGAATTCGTTTAATTCTATTTCATAAATATTTATGATTAGGAAACATTTTTTCTCACCCACTTCTGTTGTTTTTGTTTCTTTTAATAATAACTATTTATATAAATTGTTAGTGAACTAAATTGACATTGAAATATAGCTAGCCACCCTGTAACTGATCCAAACAAGTGCTCTTCAAGTTCTCACGTTCTTGACTATTGCTGAAAAAATAAACATTTTGTCAACGCTTTTCAAGTGGCACTCATCAATACAACTTGTAAGAAATATGAAAGTAAAGGGAAATTTCTTGCAAATTGTCCTGATGAGTGCAAGATGAAAATATTTGACAAATGTATATTTTTTTCAGCAATACTGAAGTTCTGTACTAACCAATGACTATTTATCACATTTTATTTGAACGAAAACAGTTAACCATCGTACATAACAAAAATACATTAGTATTTGTTATAGTTTTTAATAATGGTTGGATTTTTGAAATAGACTTGCAGGTATAAATCCTTCTATTTTCCTTAATTCCATAAAGAAAATAATTCCATCTTTTTGACACCAATAAGACAAATCACTTGTTCAACATCTTTAATAGAACATTCTTTGATAGCTTAGGCAAGAAATAATATTTTGGTTTCATTGTCCTTGCTTTTATATTCTTTAACAGCAACACAGAACTCAAATTTTACCAAATGTTTAATTGATGAAAAACAGAGTTAATCAAAATCAGGTTTAAAATAAATCCAAAATTTCACAAAAATGCAACTCTTTATTTTAGAATCATAACATACAAAACACATTTGACACTGAACGATAGAAACAGACCAAGTTAATAATTAGAAATCAACGCTGTTATTTGCAATTTCTTGTTGACTAAATTATTTTGATATTTCACTTCAAACAAATCGAATAAATATCAAAATCAAACAAAACAAATATGTAATTTTTTAAAAAATATTTGTTTTCTGCACATTACAATTTAAATGCATAATTTGAGTATTTATACAAAGAATATCTTCTCCATTATAAATATAAAAGTATTGAAAGTACCATTTTAACATTCATAAATTTCTAGTAGAAACAAAAATACAAACTCCTCTTGAAGACTATAATAAAACAGTACAAAATGTTCTGTAAACTTACATTCTTGCATTTCTCGCAAGTAAATGTCACTCTTAAGCATTGTTGTACTGCAATACAATCTATTAAAATCAGCATACTATATATTTTGTGCTTATTGTTGGTGGTGACTGCACCTTTCTCCTGATGTTTGCATCTGTGTCAAATACTTAAATACATTACAAACGTATGAAATTTATCTTCTGTGCTTTTAATCATTAAGTACAGACAGTAAATGAATAGAACCAGAATTTTTCTGAGCTGTCTTCAGCAAACCAGTCAAATTTTATAAGAATGTGGTTTACTTTATTCAGTATACATTTTCTTAGAATTACACATGATGCTTGTTTAACTATATTTGAACATTTGTAAGCATATAGGAATTCCCCTCAAAAGATTTAACTCTGTCTGCACAGTAATAACAAAAAGGGTTCATCATTTCTCTAACTATACAAAACGAATGCATTTATTTTTACCAAAGTAGCAACTGCAAGAAAAAAATACAATTTGCACTTTTCATGAGCAACAGCATGGATTGAGTAATAACCCCTACCACCCACTCTGTGCTCCATTGAAACAATTGACTATATCACACACTAGGAGGGGAAAACTTGTAATTAAAAAAGCAGTATCACTTGGAAGTAAGCATTCAGGTCATACTGGACCTCAAGATGTCACAACGTTATAGAGGGAAAAATAAGTTATTAAAACAAGAGTCATAGTTAGAAATGAACATGAACTTTCATTTTGGTCGTACTGGACCTCCATTTTAAAACGTACTCAACAAATTGGACCAATGTGTGTCTTTTGCCAGTTTTGTTGGATTTTCCTTTTTTAATCATTTACGGTATGTAAGCATCGTTGGCTGGGCCTGCATTTATCATCTTTCCCTAGTTGCCCTTCAGAGCCATTTCATTTGCAAAGAAAAGCATACACCAGCGTTATACAGGAAATAAATAGAAGCTACATTTTGGAGGTAATGGCTGCAGGTCTGAATTTCAGAAATGTGACCTATGCACTTTCAAGCAAACTTGCAGGGAAATGATGAACTTGGTGTCCCAGTGTGCGACCATCAGGCTGGTGTAGGAAAGGGGGATGGGGATATGGGCGACCACTCTCATCGAGCCTAAGGCGCTATGAATGGCCCACATGCCACGCACCTCTCCTCAGCCCCTTCCCCCGCCCCCCTCCGCTGGCACGTGCGCGGGTATCGAAAGGCGGTGACGTTAGCATCGTGCTCATTGGCCGGCGGCGGCGGGACGGCGATTGTGATGTCAGCGAGGGGGCGGGGCAGGGGTGGGGAACACGGGGCGGGGATTGGGCGGGAGCCGCGCGATGGAACGTCGGGGTTGCTCCGGTGAAGGCTGCGCGCTGGATACACAGCCGCAGTATCAATCAAGTCGACAGGGTCCCGCGCAGGCGCTGCTCGGGTTCCTCTCCCTCTCCCTCTCTCTCTGGTGCTGGCTCTTGTCGCATACAGAGGGAGCCCCAGTGCATCGAGAGGCAGACGGAGCTCATTTGCCAGCACAGTCATATCAGCAACACATACAACACATACACATACATACACACATATAGACAGACATGGAGCTCCTCTGCATGGAAAATGCCCCTAGAATCCATCGAGCTTTCCCGGACCCTACCCTCCTCGCTGACCATCGAGTCCTGCAAAACCTGCTGCACACTGAAGACAGATACATCCCCAGGACTTCTTATTTCAAATGTGTACAGAAAGAAATCGAACCCCACATGAGAAAAATGGTTGCATTTTGGATGCTAGAGGTAAAAAAAAATTTAAGGCAAAGAAAAAGCGAGCACTCTTCAAGATGCAGTATTATTCATGCCTGCCTGTCTCAAGAGCTTTTGCAAAAGTATTTGGGCTGGGAATCTGTGTCGGTGTCACCTACTTAATTTTATTTAAAATTTTTTTTCAAAGAAGTTATTTATAAATGTTGCCTCTGAAAAAGCATATTGGGGAAAAAAGGCGTCGCTTTTGTACTAACTGCGTGCAAGTTTAATAAGCTTTCTTTCCCACCCCCGATTGCAGAGAACTTCTTGGAATCGAATGCAAAATTGTGCTGATTTTTTAAAAATATTTTCTCTCGCAAAATTTATAAAGAACTGATGATGGCTGATAAACAACATGCTGTCGCCATGTTGACTCGACTTCAAAAAAAAACTTTTTCTTGCGTTTCTCTGTTGGGCTCATCAAAAGTCGCTTTGGCTTTATTAATAAGAGAGTCAGTAACTGCAGGGTTATTAATGGGTGTTTAAGATGTTGCACTTTTTATTCTCCGTCTCACAAGTTGTCCTTTGCACTGAGTCCGCTGGATCTTAACTCCTGGACTCTTAATGGTTGGTGCAGAGAGCGAGTTAGACCACCCAAAATTCTTGCATTATACCTTAAATTTCGTCCGTCCAGCAAAACAGTTTGTTGTCAGCTCCTGACCCCAATTAAACTTCAGGATTTTTTGTTTATTTACATGTAAAAATTATCGCTGGCGGCGCAACTGTCTAATTTTCCCGATTTTTTGAAACTTTACTGCGAACAAAAGGTAACTCTGCTGGCAGCCACGCGATATTTTTTATTTAATTTAATTTTAATATTTTAGAAAATCCGCAGTCGTCGGGGGCAGAAAGAGGCTGTCGCCCAGAAATGTTAAATCTTGTAAAAAGCGACTTTTGAGCAGATACTTGGCGTGTAGGAAAGGTCGGAAAAGCGTAGTGTTTTTGACTTGTTTTGCAAATTGCTAGGGCTGTCGGTTCAGTTTGCAATGCTTTAAAGAAAATGCGTGCGATTTGTAATGATTTTGTCTTTTGTGATCGAATGGATATTTGGGCTGATCTCCCCTACTTCTCGCCGTTTTTTGCCCCATTCTAGGTGTGCGAAGAGCAAAAATGCGAAGAGGAAGTCTTTCTGTTGGCTATGAATTATCTGGATAGATTTTTATCTTCGGTTCCCACTCGAAAATGTCACCTCCAGCTGCTAGGGGCAGTCTGCATGTTCTTAGCATCAAAACTGAAAGAGACGATCCCCCTGACAGCTGAGAAACTCTGCATTTACACAGACAATTCAATCACCCCAGAAGACCTCCTGGTAAATTCACCAATATTTCAGCATTTGACACGTTTTGTTTTGTACTTTTTTTTTTCAAAAAAAAATCTATTGCAGAGCCTTCCTGGGAACGACATGGTCAAAAAGATTACTTTGTAATTCTATTTCATATTTTAATTTTACAAAAAAACCTTTATGCTCAGGTGCGTAGGAAACTTCACATCTAAGGTAGAAAGTTTCCGACCCCCTATAAATTGAACCATTTGCGCTGGCGGTGGCTGCAGTTATTGATCAGACTTCAACCCAGACTCACACTTATGACTAAGCGTCTGGCGCCCTCTGGTGCAAATTTGCAAAGCCCACCCTAGTTGTACCGAGCTGCTTTCAAATAAAAGTACAGCGATACTAATTTTGCAACCAGTAATTCTTTCCAGTTTGTCCTTTGGTGAGATGTTAGCAATGCAAACATAGCAACAAAAGGTGTAGTATATGCATTGGAGTTTGGACTGCATATTTATGTTTTATAACCATTTTATAATGTGTAACAATTTATTGTAATAAGGATGAAAATTGTTTAAGATATGTCCAGTGTTGTGAACTTTGAGCTGATCAAAGTTTACGTGCCAACAAATCTGCGTTTGCAGGGCTTGAGTTTTACTTTAGATTCTTATTAGCAAATGTATGAACCACTCTATTTCTTTTCTGGGGCATTTGAGGCTTGCAAATTTACATTTTTAAAAAATTGATGGGGTAGCACGCTGTTAAGTCACCAGGCTACACCCGACACCTGTGTGATTCTTCGGGGATAGTTGTGGTTGATAGCCTGTTGCATCTGGCTGTGTATAATGCACTACTATGGTAACTGGGTCAGCAGGACCACACAGATACAGTTTCCTCATATTGCATCCTGCAGTGGTGGATGGTTGTTACCATTTTTCTTTTTGTTTCCCTTTAGAGTCTCGCTGCTTTTTTTTTGCTCTGTTGCCTTCACACCGTAGCTATTCCTCTGACAGTCTACAGGTCATTCTCAGCCATTTTATAATGGCACAATTCATGTTAATGCTTCGATAAGTTTTCAACCCCAATGCTTCTTACACCAGAAGTTAAACCCAAGTTAGAATTAGAAACCAGGAAGAAATGTGCACTGCTGGATGCTAAAACAGATGTCAGCTGGTGGACCTCCTAATTGCGTGAAATGTAAAATGCTGTTTCCAATGCCAAATATCTCATGATTGCAGTTAGCTGCATGCATGCTGAGCTTTAAGTGTTAATATAGAGCTTGGCCAAGATGTGGTGCTGGATCCTGTGTCAGAGATAAGTGCTGAGTGGTTATGTGGCCATTTACATAGCTTCTTTCCTTGGACTCCTATCAAAATTCTACACATTTTCAAATTGGAATGGAGGCTGCTAACTGTGGTCCTTCTTATCATCTTCCATGCACTGCTCCTACTATCCTTTATCCATTTTACCCAACTAGTCTGAGAGCAAAATAAAATATGAGGTAGTTGGCAAACAGAGCAGAGGTGACAGGAGTTAAAACATTTTTGTGCAGGATTGTAGTTAAGGTATGGAATTCACTGCTGAGGATGGTGGAAACCAGTTCATTCGTAGACTTTGAAAGTAATGAGTTAAAACTCAAAGGAGACATATTAAAGGGATACAGGGGAAAAAAGTTAGGGAGTGGAATTAACTGAATTGCTGTTCAAAAGAACCAGCACAGACTGGATGGGCTGAATGCCCTACATCTCTGTGCTGTAACTCTAATTCTATGTAAATGCTGCCTTGCTGATATGTAAGAATAAACAGAAAAAGACAAGGTCAGACTGTTACTGGATGGGATGCTAAGTAATGTTGAATAAGTTGAGCTTAGTTGGCTTCTTACCTGTAACGTGTGGGAGGAAATCATCATCTATTTTTCTCCATTTCTGATCACAATCCACTGGGAGTGAGTTTTGCTTGTGAGAGCTCCCTAATTCTAGTTCTGTTGTCCACTTTACTGCTGATAATATCCAGGATCTTTATGATGGGAGTTATGATGAGTTAACTTTGGAGTGGTAACATGTTACTCCACAGTACCTAAGTTGGGAATCATGGCCTCAATTTCCATTCAAGCTCATCAATAACTGCTGTTCCTCAGGATGCTGATTTGGATTATTTCCAATCGTAAGAGCACTTTGAGAAATCTGAAGTCCACATTCTCACCTCTGGCTGCAAGAATGAGAATGATCCAATTTTGTTTTCTCTTTGTAACTTTTTCCTCATTTCACTGGGGACCCTGAACAGCACTGTCTTCCTAGACAGTTGCCAATATTACTTTGCAAACAGCTGCTAAAGGGTGTGCAAGAACACACTGCCTTACTCACAACTGAAATTTTTTTTCTCTTCGTTTTGAGGAAGCAATTTCCTCCATGACTGAGCAAATTCTGAAGAACTGAGAGTTGTAAACTGGGGGTATAAAGTTTTGTTTGGTCACCCTGTAGTGTATACATAGTTCTTTGAATCAATATTAGTTAATTTTAAAGTACTGACCCACACTTGTTCCCATAATGTGTAAAGGCTATTAAAGGCATTGATCGTGATGCAAAAAAAATTTTAATGAGTCATCAGAATTGAGAGAATACTGCTATGACGAAGCATTTACAGAGTTGAGGGTCTTTTCTGTACAAAAGAGGTGGCTGAGGAAGGTGACCTTACAGAAGGCTGAAGCATATGAAAGAGTTTGATAGGGTACATGTAGAGAAGATATTATCGCTTGTGAGAGAAACCCAAGATTCGCTTTCATAATTAAAAGGTGGTCATTTGTAAGTCCGATAGAAAATTCAGAAAAAGTGTCTTGACTTGGGAGAAGAGCTAGAATGAGGAATTAAGTGCTATGAGTAATTGAAGTGAATAGGAAAAATGGGTTTAAGGGAAGCGGAATAAATTGGAGGTGAAAGAAATAGAGTTGTGCTGATTGGCTTGTATGATGGCTAATGAGAGGTATGTACAGAGTATAAGCACCAGCATGGACAAGTTGATCCAAACGATCTTTTCCTGAGGTTTACATTCTGTATTGTCCGATTATAGAACAGACGTACTTGCGGATGATGAGCGAGACATCTTGTGGTTAAGCTAAGACACTGCCTGCCATCAGGAGTTACTGTCATCATTGGGTACTATCTCTTCCTTTTAGATCTCTGAGGAAATAGGAGCAGGAACTGGTATTTACATAAAGGGTTATGGGTGTGGCATGTGAGGCCGAATAATTTTAAATCAACGCTGATTGGAATGGGTTTTATGGGTTAATCCTGATCTAAACTTAAAATTAATGAGCACAGGAATTTCAGTTCCAGTTTTTTTTTTAAAGAATCAAATTCTTGTGACAAGTCAATAAAATATTCTCAGAAGTGTTACCATTAACCTGTGATCAAGGTGTATTTTAGAGACTTGAACCCATCATCTAAAGCCCTTACTATTGTCTTGAGTAATTATTTTGGGTCAGACCAAGGCTTCTTAGGTATCCATAATCTGAGAAGACCCAAGTGTTATCTTGGTGTTTTTATCAGCATATGTATCTCAGCTATAAAGCTACTGTGACATAGAAGGGAGGCCATTCACCTATTGAATCCATGCTGTATCCCTGCTTCGCATCTCAGTCAATCCTGTCCCACCTGTTTATCTCTGCAGCCTCCACATTTATATATCTCAATGACCTGTCCAATTTCCTTCTGAAAATGTTGATCCTTTCTGCTTCTACCACTCTTGTAGGCAGAGATCTCCAAATATTCTAATATCATAACATACATTATACGTTCATTTAAGTCACTCGTGTTTGTTGTGTGGAAATTTGCTACACTTTGAAAGTACTTGATTAGTTGCAAATAATTTGGTACATACTGAGTTTGTGAAGCACCCTGTAAATGCAAGTTTAGTTTCTTATCTAATTTAGTAATAGTTTACATTCAATATGGCTCTACATTTGTAGAACTCAGCTTGAATAGAAACTGAATTACTTTCTCCTGCTTTTAGATTAGAATTATTGTCCTATATGCTTTTCCGCATTCTCCCAGTACAAGTACCACCCATTCAAACTTTTATTGGTGTACCTTTTTGAAAAACATCAGTGCTGTTTGGTTACTTAGAACAGTAATAACTGATGGGAAAGTTTGTATGATGGCTCCATAATGTACGCAGGAACAGCAACCATGTCTAAACCAATTTTTATTTGTCAGGCTTTATTCACACTGTCAGTTTTCTTCACTTTTAGTTCTGTGCCCGTGTTTATGATGAAAAATACTCATGTAAATCTGTCAACTTGCATTTTGCTCATTGAATTCACAAATTCTCTCATACTTTGCAAAAACTCATCTGCCATTTCTCAGTAACTGAAATTTCTAACGCCCAAAGTTTAAACTTTTTTTTTTAAAATGCACATTTTCGAACAATATGATTAAACTCATCGATTGAATGATCTTGTGTCTTTTATTTTGTTTTTGTCTATCCCAATAGTCAGGGCTTGAGTTAAGTTTTTTTTTTGTCCAGAGCTGTAAACTGAAATTGAGAGTGCTGCCCAAAGATGTTCAGTTGTGCCTTGTTCTCAGAATGCTCCAGTGTCGATTAATTGAATATTTTTTGAGTTTATAACGTTCCCTGTTCAAACTCTTTTGGGAAATACACAAAAAAAAAATTCAAGGACAAATTTCAAAACCTTCACTGAAATTAAAATTGTTTTGTCTTCTAATGAGAGAGCTATATGGGAGAGAGGGGACATAAATTAAGTAACATGAAAAGTTCTGTCATGGGGTGGGGAGGGGAGTCATTTATTTGACATTTTAAGCCAGCTAAATTCAGGCGCCTGCAACTTGTTGGCAAATAGAAAAGTTTAATGCTAATGGTTTATAACTGTGAAATGGAACAAGAAGAGGCCATTTCATCCCTCAACATTTCCATCATTCACTGAGACCATGGTGGATCATTGATTCAGATGTCCAGCACCTACGAGAGGGTTTTGGTGCGTGGAACTGAGGCATGAGCAAAGATGTGTGTTTCTTTTCCAACTTGGT